CAATTAGGATGCCAGCCATTTTTTCTTGATTAAATAGTCTTAAAATATCAAATATACTATGAAAGTGCTTTTTTTTTTTTTTTTGCTAACCGATATGAAAGTGCTTTTGCAACCTTGAGTACGACATTGTTGATTGATTAAAATTATTTTTAACATTTTCCCTAATTTGGTGGCATAGTCCACTTAGCCAACTAGGCCCTTTTTAAAATACATTTTATCTAATTTTTGGTGGGAATCGAACTTCAACACTTTCAATCATGGGCTCCATGTTAACAGTAGTTATAAGAATTATTTTTAAAAAAATTAGTTTATATACACACACGTCACATTATGCATCACAAAATAATGTAATAATTGAATAGACTTGCTCAGTTAAGGAAAATTGTGCGTGAACACAAAAGAATCAAGATTTGAAACGTCAATGAATCGAAGATTTTGACCTGTTATTATTCTTTTTAAAAAGGGCCCTCACTTTCGAACATTCTTCTGAATATAATCTTATGTGTCTTTTTTTCTTTTGTGTTTTAGCTCGGTGATGAATGATTACATACGCGCGGTTAAAGATTTGGCATGTGAGATCATCGATCTAACGGTGGAGATCGAACGGCCTTGTGAGTGAGTTAATTAGAGACGTACGTAGCGAATTCGATCCTACGGTTGAATCATTATCCACCAGCACCGTTTGCGTTAAGAGGCGTTAGTCAAAGCCACATAGGTTTCGGAGAGCATTTTGACCCTCAGATCTTGACGGTGCTAAGATCTAACGACGTAGATGGACTTCAGATTTCCTCACGTGACGGCTTGTGAGTCCTTATCCCATCTGACCCTACATGTTTTTACGTTTTGGTCGGTGACTGCCTTCGGGTAATTAAATAAAAAATTAAATCGGCTAATCTTTGTTCAAACCGTATATCATTAAGAAGAAGCCATTTTTTCTTTCGTCTGCAATTTGTTTTTGTGAATTAGAATCTCAAATTAAATTCCATTAATTATCATGTGACTTAATCATTGAAAATAGGCATTGACGAATGGGAGATTCACTAGCGTGAGGCACAGGGTACAAGCGAACACGGCGGGGAAGCCTCGAATGTCGGCGATGTATTTTGCGGCACCGCCTTTGGAGGCAAAAATATCACCGTTGCCGGAGCTGGTATCGCCGGAAAATCCACGGCGGTATAATTCGTTCACATGGGGTGACTACAAAAAAGCTACATACTCTTTACGTTTGGATGTCCCACGTCTCGAGTTTTTCAAGAAATCATAAATATTATAACACAAGTTAAATAAATTGGA